GATTTTTCTTAATTCAACTTCATGACTCCTTCATATTCTAGTAACAGTTGTTTCTAGTTTCAGTGTCAATTTGGTTGTGAGTTTTTCTTTTGTCATGTGATTTCACTGGAAATTTAGTGGGAAGTAGGAAGAGGCTGAATCGGAAACTGCTGGCCAGGTGCCATTTCAGTGGACTGTGTGGTGCTTCCCCTCCACCATTCCTTCTCGGGAGCCATAGATATCAGCTCCCAGTAAAAACAGTTCTGCATTTGTCTTGAGGAAAAAATACGGAGTGTAAAAAATTGTGTTATTTTGCTTACTTAAGTCATAGAGAATCTATGAAAAGTAATCTAGAAGAAGTTATTAATGCATTAGATAGTAATCTTTATGGAACTTCCCATTAATATGTAGAGAAGGTAAAAAACGTTATGTACTTAACAAGAAAGAGATACTTAAAGAGTAGCTGTAATTACAGGCTGTCACCTACATCCAGCACCTTCACCATCAATAACCAGTTTATGGCACCTCCTTAGAGAGTGACCCTGTGCTGCACATACGGCAGTTAGTGTTGCCATTCACATTAGGTTACAATATCATTCAGTCAGCTGATTTCAGCTAGTTTTGCATAATGTTTCCTGAGAAAAACACTTTTGTTAATATAAAGGTAGGTACCATATATAAACCTTTGAGCAGAAATTATAAAGCAATATGGCATAGTTTCATTTTAACAGCACCAAAGTATAGGCAAAAACAGCACTTATTTCTTCTTTTGTGGAACTTACACTGTCATGGGTAAGACAGACTGCAGTCAAATTTTCACAGAGATCATTGTAAAAATTCTGATTCCAATGCCGAAACTACTTCATAAAGTTGTATGCAAATATCAGTTATTATTTTGCCCTTGTAAAGTGAAAACAGAGAATGTCGCTCTTATCCGTAAAATCTCTAGTACTAGAGCGCCCTTAAAATCTTTCCTGCGAAGATAACATTTTTCCTTTTTAAAGAAAAATGTTTTTCATGCTTGCACAGGGTAAGTAAAGAGTGCAGAAGTTCAGTTTTACAATGTTTATGCGTAAGGATGTTTCTATTTCTAGTGCAGTTATATTTGGATTATATTGATTCAGTGATGTGAGTACATGTGCTGTATTCATATCTTTGAAAGAAATAAACAGAAAATAAACACAGCAGGTACACCTGCAGAACGTTATATGAGAGCTACTGCTCTCCATAGGAGTGTGTGTGTTTATTTGTGCTGTAATCCTGTGGTGGATATTGATGCCATTCATGTTCAAGATGACAGAAGAGATGAAAGAGATTGATCTTATAAGTTGAGAGACACTGACCTGCAGTCCTTAACCTTTTCTTTTTATTTGTATCCTCCCTTCCCAAGTCTTTTCACCAAACCTAGATTCTCTGAAGCCCAAAAGGTCCAACAGGTATTTCAGGCTCTGTTTCTATTAACCGGCCCTGTAGACCCTGCCCCCTGCAGTCAGCCTGACCAGTCTCGGGGGTTGTCTGCAAACCCTTACAGCTGTACTCTGGAAAGCCTATTAAACGTGAAAGGAGAACTGCTCTAGAATAAGAAAACTCAACTTTGTATGCACTGTGCTTCTTTTGTCAAGTCACTTCACCTCTTTGAACAGCAGTTTCCTCTTGCTCATGAAATGGAGGTATCCCAGGCCCATCGTGCCCACTTTGCCTGGGAGGCAGGGTCCATAGTAGGAGATATGACACGTAGGCCGAAGCCGCAGGTCACCTGAAGTTTCTCTCCAAGTTTTTCTGAGGCATCTGGGAACTTCTCTCAGGAGGCGGTATATATTAATTTCCCTGTAGTAAGTGTTTTGAAGTTAGGTTCTATGTCGCTTTCGTGTATCCTCAACAACTAGCACAGCACCTGGCACACAGTCTCATTCAGTAAATGCTGGTTGAATAATGAGGGAGAGATTTCTTTCTAAGTTCCATGACTCATAACAGCTGACTGAGCACCATGTTGTATGTAGTGCCAGAATACTCAGCCTACCAGAAGTGATCCGTGGTTTCCAGGTGGAGTCCTAGTTTCTCATCTGAGAGGTCACAATGATCACATATGCCTCAGGGTTTCTGTGATGATCAAATGAAAAATGTGTTCCAAAGCTGGTTCAGATGAGGGGCATAAGGAAGGGAGGAACAGAGGTAGGTGGAGTCAGACCTGGGATAATTTCCATTCCGCCACCTGCTTCTGCTGGGAACTTGAAGAAGCCATGTAACTTCTCTGAGCCTCTTTCCCTGTCTGAACAGCGAGGTTAACAGTGCCTGTCCTGCCTCCCTTACAGATTCATTTGCAGTGAGGAAGGAGATGATGAAAAAGGGAAAAAGGGTCCTACGAATGTAAGAAACTTAGTATTAGAGGAGAGGACTGTGGACTGGAATTCGTAAAACCTGGCTTTGACACTTACTAGCTCTGCAGCTTAAACTACTGAAACACAGTTTCTTCCTATATAAAACGAAAGTGTTAGATTAGTTTATTTTTATTGCTTTTCCTGTTAATAGTGGTGGATTTGTAGAAGTTCTCTTCATGTGCATGCAGGATTAAAATAATCACATATCTATAATTTTCAGCCTTATGAGTACTGGGGGAAACCCCACACTAAAACTTTTGTCCATCTTCTGAATAATGTCTGAATTTACAGACCTCATTCTGCTTTCCTGTAGCTAAAGGACTGGGCTATACTGAGTAACACTTCAAGCTTTTATCAGTGTTCTCACCTCCCCGCTTACGAGTTCAGCTGTCTTCTGTTATCTGTTTCGCTAAGATGGGAGGGGCAGGATAACTGAAAATCACCTTGGCTGCTTCGCAGTTTCACGTCAGTTTGTCCCACACACCAGCGGATTAGTCTAGTGTATGCATTCATAGGGATGAAAATGCTGGCTTGGAACGAGAATTCCTAGACTCTGCAGCCTTGACAACCATCTCCAGGCCCTTCATTTCGTAAGTGTCACACCTGGAGTACTTACAGGGGCCTTGGGGTTCTTCCCACCTAGCCCTCTCATTTTTCATATGGGAAACCGGGGCCCAGAGAAGTAGCTTGCTAGAGAACATGGCGATTTGAACAAAGAAAATCCAAAGTCCCAGCAAGTTGTATTGCAATATATTACCCTACAGGGAATTAACCACCGAGAAAATAAGATACGGCAGTTCCTCCTAGTTGCGGTGTTCATCAAAAAGTCTGCCTTTTTGATTTCTTGCTACTCTTCAGCTTAGAACCAGAGGGCTTTTATTTCAGGTGCAACGTTTTACAGCATTTAGCACTTTTAACTGAGAAGTAGAGTTAGGGTAATCACATCTGAGTTCTTCAAATCATTCTTTCTTAGTCTTGGCTAACTTTATAGAGGACTTACTCTATGCTAGTATGCTAGACACTGTGCTAACAAAGAGTACTTCCTCTCTAGAGACTGTTAGAGCACAGAAGGCCCTGGGAACAGTGAGGGTGAAAGGAGCAAGAGCCGAAGAGGCAAGAGTGACCAGGTCTGAAAGCAGGAGAGTGGGGCAGAATCACATCTGAAAGTTTCAAGGTCACCCCTCAGCAGGAGCAGAGCTGTAGCTGCAGAGCCCGCAGAGCTTTAAGCCCAACAGGAAACCTGAAAGCATCCCGGAGGGGGCATTTTGCAGGAAGCGTGGGGCCTCTCAGTTTCTGGGCTTTTATTCATCAGCATCTAAGGGTGTTGAATGAACCCTGTCCTTGATTCTAACTTCTTTCCCTCGTCATCCTTCCCATACGCCCCTGCTGGCCAGGTGAAAACCAAGGAAGTACAGATTACAAACCAGAGAGAAACCTGAGGGTTATGAGGCGGTGTGATCTCCAAAGGTTCACATTTCTGTCTTTTCATTAGCCGTCTTTCTGATAAGAAAATCTTGGACTTATTTGATTACAGTAATGTGGGAAGTTTACAGTCCCTCTGTACAATCCTAAATTCAAAATTCTCTGAGACAGTTTTTTAAAATAATTTTGTGGAACACTCACTTGGGTAGTAAATCTGACCAAAACTGACAGGATGCTACAGTCTTAACAGTCTTTAGATACCTCCCTTAGTGAGAATATTCACATGTTTGGAGGCAAACATATTCATGTGTCTGATTACAGAGTTGCCTCCACAGACCCTGCTGTGGGCAATAAGCAATTTATGGAAAAATGCATTTTACTGCGTTTCTGAAATTGAAAGAACTCGGAATTCCAAAACCATCTGGCCCCAAGGATTTTAGAAAAGTGATTTTCAACACATAAAAAGTTTTCCGTAAATTTTGGTGTACTTATTTATCCCTTAAGGAATGAACGTTTCCTTCGTTTTTCTTCCCTATGAAGAAAAAGTGGGGGGGAGGGGAGAAGCAAAACAAGTCTAAATGGTGGCTCTCAGGAGAATAAACTGTAGCTGAAGCTTTGGGGGTGAGGGTCTAAGGTCCTCAATAGGAGTAGATCTTTTAAAGGACAGAAAACTAGATCTGTACTTTTCCTGCAATTAAAAAAAAAAAAATTACAGATTTCGCCGCGGAACTGCATCATCCTCTTCTCCAGCTTTGCAGCAGCCTGAGCTGTAAGAGCTGCTAAGCCTAAAATGCGTGCGACTCACGGAACCAGAGCGCCACCTTTCTTCCAGATTTGGAATTGAAGCTTCCCGCGGCCACGGGCTGACTTGCCTGCCGAGGCTTGTTCAATCCACAAGACTGCAAGGAAACAATTCCTTGACCCTCAGATCATAAAGGAAGAGCTGCAAAGAGGGCAAGAAAATGTGTTTCCTTCTCTTTGGTCCCTGAGCAATTAAATTCGTAACCTAATCTGATGTTAGGGAGTGTGAGCCATAAACCCCATGTTTAATTAGTTTGCACCTAGAGTCATTTTACACACTAGACATTTTAATTTACAACCTGCTGCATTGCAGCACTTTTCTAGGCCTTCAGCTATATAATAAGGTATTCTGCTAGCTGCTGAAGCTTTAAAAATATAGATACACTTAGTTCAGATTTTTTCTTCCTTTTCCATTTTCAGTTGCAAATCAAACATGCAGTTACAGAAGCAGAGATTCAAAAATTGAAGACCAAGGTAAGCACCAATACATGATGTTTGAATTGTACTTTTTAAACTTCAGATGCTATGAATAAATTCAACCCGAGGACTAAAGGAATTTGTTTCTGTGCATTTGAAAGAATACAAATGTGAGAGATTCATTTCCACTGTTAGCGGAAAATCCTGCCACTGCATACTCTTAGGGGGTCAGCACCACCATACCCCTCAGTGAAAATAGCACAGTATTTTTAAATTACATATTTGCACACATGTGGCCCGTTCCCTCTGAGCTTTCCTCAAAAAGTAAATGTTTATGTGGTGGTGTGATGAATTGGGAGATTGGGATTGACATACATACGCTAATATGTATAAAATGGATAACTAATAAGAACCTGCTATTTAAAAAAATAAATTAAATTAAATTAAAAAGTAAATGTTTATAATAGTTCAAGAATCCAAATTACATTTTGACCACTAATTCCTTAAGCACAAGCCGTTATACTATATCTCTTTATCTTATCTTAAATGTTTAATTATTTATTTTTAACTTATTCATCAGAGATAATGTATTTTAACATAGCACATTACTTATCTTTCATAGAGAAAACTTCCAATTTCTAGTAATTAAATATTATGAAATTTAATTAATATATGAATAATTTATTTTAGGTGCCAGGTGCTACCAGAAACCTTTAGACAAGTTTAGTTCATGTTATTTAAATCTGTGGGGAAATATAGGTCTTGATTAAAGGAGTATATGTTTTTCGTTTATATATGAAATAATACATAATTCAGAAGGGCATTTTTAATTGGTAAATTATAAGGTACTTGTAAGTTTCTTGAACAGTGTTTAGTTTTATCAAGTACATAATTTCAGAGATTTAAAAATATCTTTTGAGTTACTTTAAAAACACAATAATCTTTATTTTTTATGGTCTTTTAAAAATTGAGACATAATTGCTCTCACACTACTAACAGTCCGTTTCCCTGTTCACATTAGATACACTTGTTTTGGTTTTTCCATGTGTTTTAAATGGAGATGAATTAGCAAGGCTATTTTGGTTAAATGGTATTTTTAGCTAATAACTCTGCAGCTCTTTAGTCAAAACATGTCTATACATCATTCATGGTTTCAACCAAGCTCTGTGAATAATAAGTTTTAAATTAGTAGTGGTTGGTAAATAAACAACTCAAACACGAAACATTGCTTAATAAAAGATGCAGCAAATACCCAGTCCTGTTTTAAATTGCCATGTTTCTTGTCATAGAACGGAAGAATAGAAGATTTTTTTTTAGTTGTTAGGTACAATCAGGGAGAAAGATTCACCTGGGATTGCAAGTGCTTTAACAAAGCTTATGTGTTAGATATTTAATCTAGAAAATTCTATAAATTAGTATTTTATATTTTTCTCAATATTATATTGGCATATAATAGCCATAGATTAGCTTGTTTTACTATGACTCTTTATATCCAAGTTGATAATAGAATTCCTAATCTTGAAATGTTTTTGACTACTTTTTACTTTGTAACCTGTTTTGCCAATGTGTTTAGTTTAAAATATACATAAAAACATATATTTCCACTTTCCGAATGATTTTAGAATGTTTTAGATTTTGAAAATTGATAGTTTATAATGACTCTGCATCCTTTTGAACTTTAACAGAGGCATGTGAAGTAGATGAAGCACTCGTTTAAAGGTTAGCTGGTTATTGTGAATAAATGACCTTTGACCCCTTACCTGAGAGATCAGTCTTGAATTTCTTCAGAAATGAGGGATTTGGACCAGTGTGTTATCTGTTCCTAAGCTTCCCTGAAAGCAGAAACCACAAGAAGCTGCCTTTCTGTCCCATCAGAGAGATTTAAATTAATTCAGCAATCATTTATATTTTTACTCACACTGTCTTTTATACTTTTATTCAAATCAGGATTTATTAGGCTCTAGAAACTCAGAACAGTGTCAGCAAAATAATGAGCTACAAGCTATGTTCATGTCAGTTGAAATAAAAGATGTGATAATATCATCAAAAGGGATAGAAACAAAGTAAAAATCACTTTTATCAGATTATTATGCCCAAGGAGCTGTTCCAAGCGTGCTGATGTGTTATATCACAGTTCCGATTAAAGATAACATAATTTAGTCTTAGAGGACTTCAGTTACTTGTCCAAGGTTTAAAGGCCAATAATGGCAGAGCCTGGAGTTCAAATCTAAACTGTATGACTCCACGGTCCCCCTCTTATCCATTAGGCCATACTGTGTGCTTCTGCCCCTCTCTCCCTCCCAGCTTGCCTCTCCCCACTCCCTTTTTAGTTAACTTTTTATTTATAATTATATGTTAAAAAAAAAAAAAAGAAAAACTCTAAAAGCAAGTGTGTTGAAGTTCATTGGATAGAATGAAACTCTAAAACACTTTTTCCTGCTCAGAGAATTTCATACACCACATAGTGTGATGGAAAGATCATGGGAGTTGGAATCAGATCCATGTTTTGTCATTTATCAGATGTGTGACCTTGTACAAACATTTTCACTTTTCAAGGCCTCCATTTTATAATCTGTGTAATTATGAAAATAATACTTGCTCTTCTCATCTCAGTGTGTTTGATGATTTGAGTATATGTAACAATGGAATTTAAAATACACTATAAAAATATGAGGGATTTTTGCTACAGAAGTACCCAGATAATGCTTGCTTTGATATTTGCTTTGTCCAGCTACAAGCAGCAGAAAATGAGAAAGTGAGGTGGGAACTAGAAAAAACCCAACTCCAGCAGAATATAGAAGAGAATAAAGAAAGAATGTTGAAGTTGGAGAGCTACTGGATTGAGGCTCAAACGTTATGCCACACGGTGAACGAGCACCTCAAAGAGACTCAAAGCCAGTATCAAGCCTTGGAAAAGAAGTACAACAAGGCAAAGAAACTGATCAAGGATTTTCAACAAAAGTAAGCAGCTTCTAATGACTAAAGAATAGTTGTGTGTATCTAAAGAAGGTTTATATCCAGTAATTTCATAATATCTAGTGGAAAAGAAAAGGTGACCTGAGAGTCATGCCCCTAAGGAGCATAGTTAATGCATAAATAGACATTAAGTTTTAGAAATCTCTTGCATCATTTTTCATATGCGATTATAGTTTTTCTTCTATAATTTTTTGGCAACCTCCTGTTTTGTTGTTGTTGTTAATCATTAATAGTAACTGTTAAACCATTTGAACCTCTATCCTTTTTGAAACATCTGTGATTTAGAGGCAAGAAGCCCAGCTGAAGTCATGCAGAATGACTATTGGATAAAGTACTTACAAAGCAGCAACTGGGGCCTTGATGAGGCTGCTTCTATGTCTATTCTTAGAATCAGTTAACTTCAGAATTTTCCCACTACAGATAGTGTAAATATTGACTAGCAAGACCTCCTGCCCTGCCAGTTTCCTTCTTTCAGCTGTTGAGAGAATCAAAAGGGCCTTGGTTCACTGCAGTAAGAGACCATCACCACACTCTGCTTTTAAATTTCAACTGCTATTTCTGAGCTAATGCTGCTTTGCTTCCATCTGTTGAATCTTGGTGTAATTTCAGGGAGACTGACCAGGGAGATTTTTACGGATTTTTTTCAACAGTTACTTCTGGCTAGCTAGAATAATAGAAAGTAGCACCAGTATCTCATCTGGCCTTCTATGTCAAGCCTTAAAAGCTAAGCATAGGGCTTCCCTGGTGGCGCAGTGGTTGAGGGTCCGCCTGCCGACGCAGGAGACACGGGTTCGTGCCCCGGTCCGGGAAGATCCCACATGCCGCGGAGCGGCTGGGCCCGTGAGCCATGGCCGCTGAGCCTGCGCGTCCGGAGCCTGTACTCTGCAACGGGAGAGGCCACAACAGTGAGAGGCCCGCGTACGGCAAAAAAATTTTTAAAAGCTAAGCATATATGTAAGAGTCACCCTAACTGTTATTTCCTATCATGGAAATAATGTTTGTAATGTTTAAAAGATATTGCTATAAAAAGTGTATTAGAAAGGGGGGAATTGTTCTTATGACCATGAATTCAGTACATCACTGTTTTAACTCTTTTTACCAAAAATATACCTAACTCTATTTCATGTAATAATTTTATAATAAATTCTACCAAATTTGCATATTGCATTCCAGACTCTCCAAATGGAGGTATTTCTCCTTCTCCCCATATTATCCTCAGGTATGTAGTGACAGCTCCCCCTCAGTGTTTCTGACCCAACAGCCCCTCTACTGCCATTTATAGGAAGCAATCTTATTATAATTATCTTTTTAAAACTCCTACCATCCAGTTCCATCAGTTTACTAGGTAAATGACTTTATAAATGTGGAATTATATCTACTTGACATATAATTATCTCCACTAAATTGTCCAACATGGGTCATTAGTTCAGTAGCTTCTATCTAAATATGAACGGGTGCTCTAGAGTCAGGAGCTACAGATGAAAATCTTAGTAAGCAGAATCAAAGCATTTTTCTTTACTTTGTAATCCATTAAAACATTTTTTTTTTTTTTTTTTTGCGGTACGCGGGCCTCTCACTGTTGTGGCCTCTCCTGTTGCGGAGCACAGGCTCCGGACACGCAGGCTCAGCGGCCATGACTCACGGGCCCAGCCGCTCCGCGGCATGTGGGATCTTCCCGGACCGGGGCACGAACCCGTGTCCCCTGCATCGGCAGGCGGACTCTCAACCACTGCGCCACCAGGGAAGCCCCCATTAAGACATTTTATTTGCTTTCATTACTAGATACCTTTTCTCTATGATTGAGTTTTGTTTATTTAAACAGCTGTCTAGTTATTTATTTCACTGTGTAGTTCATTGCTTCTGATAAGAATTTTTACGTTTCCTCATTTATTGAGTGTTTGATGCAATGAGATCTATTATTTTCTTCTTAAGAGAACTTGATTTCATCAAAAGACAGGAAGCAGAAAGAAAGAAAATAGAAGATTTGGAAAAAGCTCATCTTGTGGAAGTTCAAGGCCTGCAAGTACGGGTGAGTTATATGCTCAAAGCCACTGAGTAATAGGGCAGCCAGACAAAAGTATAATTTGAAAAGATACATGCACCCCCATGTTCATAGCAGCACTATTTACAATAGCCAAGATGTGAAAACAACCTAAATGTCCATTGACAGATGAATGGATAAAGAAGATGTGGTACATATATACAATGGACTATTACTCAGCCATTAAAAAGAATGAAATAATAGAGATGATCACACTAAGTGAAGTAAGTCAGAAAGAGAAAGACAAATACCATATGATATCACTTACATGTGGAATCTAAAATACAACACAAATGAACATATCTATGAAACAAAAACAGACTTACAGACATAGAGAATAGACTTGTGGTTGCCAAAGAGGCGGGAGGGTTGAGGAGGGAAGGACTGGGGGTTTGGGATTAGCAGAAGCAAACTATTATATATAGGTTGGATGAACAGCAAGGTCTTACTGTATAGCACGGGGAACTATGTTCAGTATCCTGTGGTAAACCATAATGGAAAAGAATTTGAAAAGGGTATATATATGTATAACTGAGTCACTTTGCTAAATAGCAGAAATTAAACACAACGTTGTAAATCGACTATATTTTAATAAAATTTTAAAAAAAAGAATAGGGTAGTTTTGCCTAGTGCTTGGAGAGAAGTGCTGATTTAGGGTTTCATGAATGGATATTTTTTTTCTCTCTTAGATTAGAGATTTGGAAGCTGAGGTGTTCAGGCTACTGAAGCAAAATGGGACTCAAGTTAACAATAACAACAACATCTTTGAGAGAAGAACATCTCTTAGTGAGGTCTCTAAAGGAGATACCTTGGAGAACTTGGATGTCAAGCAGACACCTTGTCAAGATGGCCTAAGTCAAGGTTTGTTTAACCTAACCATAAAAAATGTTTTTAATGACTGTAAAATTTGGCCTTACATTCTTCTTTTTTTAACTCAGAGATTTAAAAGTTGAAAAAGTCTTCCTGCTGTGGGAAAGAAAAACAGGCTTATCAAATTAGGAAGTTATAATTTTTCTCTCATCTTATCAAAAATAAATCTTTGATGTAAAGAATTAACAAAATTCCAAATCGGACAAGTCAGATATTATTTTTAAACCACCATAAAATTGATAAGCTTAATAAACTGCCTTAAATTGATAGCTCGTCCCATATAGGGTGAGTTACACTACTTAAGTATTAATTAGTAAGCCTTAAAATGAGTGATTTTTAAGTCCCTAGAAAGATCTTTTTCATAACGTCAGAAGGCTGACTTCTAGCACTTGGAATTCACTAAGAAGTTCTGTGTAGTTTTCTGCTTTTACCTCGATGTCCTGTGTATATGTCTCATTCTTTCCTGTCAGAGACCAAATCAGACCAGAACACGGGAAGCATTTTGTATTGTGAATGGCTGTCTTCTTTCATACACCAGCCATAAATAAATCACTTATTTGCTTCCCTCACACGCGCCCGTGCATAGACTGTGTGTATAAGAATGTGTATGAATGTTTTAATACGTATAGTGTATTTATAAATTAGAGAATGTAGAAGAATTTATAACAATAAATGCACAGGCGGACATAAAACTTTTAATTTCATCTTTTAAAATAGGTACCTAGTAGACCTTAGAAAAAGTGAAAATAAAAGAATGTCATGTGGCAGCATTGTCGTGAAGGGACTGACAACTCACAGGCAGTGGTTTGACATGCAGTAAAACTGTGATCACTAATGAGCTGTTTAATTCTTTGATGCTCTTTCGCACATATTAAAATGTCTCCAATGAGATTTTCCTGATAAACAAGTGTTTATATCATATCATTAACTTTCAGAACTAAACTCTTAGCCGTTGAAAGTGAAAAGTATTGGAAATTTTCATTTAAAAGTAAAGTGGTATTTAGAGATTTGCATCTGTTCACTAAGTTTATATCCTTTTGCTGTGTTTTCCCTTACTAAGACATAATCTGTAAATAATGCCTCCCAGGCCGTTAAAGGAGAGTATTTAGCACCAACATTACCACTAACTGAAGAGGTATGTGACTTTAGGAAGGTCATTCAACTTCTCTGGCTTGGTTTTTTACTATGTATAATATCAAAATGGCAACACTTCTTTCTTCTCCACCCTAAAGGGTGTTTGAGGTGAAAAAAAGAAATTTTATTAGAGCTTTTATGGAGTTACAATTTTTATATCTGGAACTCGATAAGATTGTTTTCTTAAAAAAGTCAGAAATCAAATCAGTGTGTTTTTTTCACCTTTTTGAATATTTTAATTCTTCAAATTCGTCATAGTTTATAATAAATATATATTCCTGCTATGCCATACACAAAGTATGATCAGTAACCAGTAGCTTTCCAGAGTCTAATTCATTTCTGTTCATTTCTTTTAGTTCAGAAATCTGTATCTTGTCAAACATATAATTAATGGTATTTATTAAATTATATGACTACAGAATATCAGCAAACTATACTATAAACATGCTGATTTGGATTAAAGCCTTACATTTCTTCTGAACCCTTTTTCTTCTCTTCTACACCCTCCATTTTGCCACATAATTACCAGTTTCCCTAGCAACACTGTCGGTTCACGGTGAGATGCAGAGACTACTAATTCTTCCTGAGACCAATCCATGCTTGTGCAGTAGAGGTAGAATCAGTCATCTCAGACATTAGTAGCATACATATCAAGCGGTACTCTTCCAGTTTTGCTGCCGAGGACAGTCAGTGATAAATCTCCTTGAATTTCAGTTGCTTGATCACATAAACTAAAATGGCTTGGTCAGTAGCTAGATAGGAATGCTCTGGAAAGCACTTTTCTAAATTGATCCTTTGCTTCTGTTGCTAGGGAACGCTGAAGTCCTAGAGGTTCAGAAAAGGAAGTAAAGCAGCGGACCAAACGCAAGCCATTTGGTATTTAATGATCACCCTCCCCCCCAACACACACCTTTTTGCAACAGGATGGGTACAGCGGTTGAAGTCAGTTCTGCTAGTCTGCGCCCTTGAGGTGCAGTGCTTTACCTCCCCACCTCCTGTGGCCTGTCCAGTTCTGATTTGTTTTCCAAGCACTGGAGTGTTTTATTGATAGGATGAGTGGTTTAGCATCTTTTTGGGTCTGAGGCAGCTCAGTGAAGCAAAAGGATTATCAGTTATAGGTCAGTGAAAAATCTATGTTAGAATGAAATGTGAAAGAAAAGGAAGGAGAGAGTGAAGGAGGCAGAAAGGTAAGAGGAGGAAAGGAAGAGCATGTAAGCGGCTGCTTCTCCACAAGAACTCATCTTCTTCTAGGAATGAGAGTCCCAACTGGGGATGGATTAATTATGTGACTCTCGATATTAAATTATTGTACATTTTTAGAGTGATAAAGCCACTTTTCAAACCATGCAAAAATTTGCCACAGTTAAATTTATATCCAAACATCATATGTATGGTTCTTTCTATAAACTAAGCCTACTCAAGTATCTCATTAAAATGTTGACAGATTGGGAATTCCATGGAGGTCCAGTGGTTAGGACTCTACGCTCTCACTGCTGAGGGCCCCAGGTTCAATCCCTGGTCGCCAAAAAAAAAAAAAAAAAAAAAAGTTGGCAGATTATATATACAAATATATTATTTAACACATTCTGATACTTTTTTCTTAAAATCCATAAAGCAACTATAACAATGTTTTTTCACCAAGAGATGAAACAAACTCTAAATCCCTTCTAGTTTACACCAGTATGCTGGTCAGATATTAGTTTACATGTGTTCCAGGATGTGAAAAATGACAGTTTTGTCCCACTGCCATGTTTCATATTTATAATTTCTTAGTGTCTGAGTAATGCTGGTCTGTATAAGAGTTCTCTACCTTGTATCCAAAGGCCCCGAAGTGACTAGAAATGTCTGTGGCCACTCAGATATTCAAGTCAGGATTAGAAAAAGAGCAGAAAACAGGCATGTTAGAGAGATCTTGGTAGGAAAAAGGGTTGTAGTCATAGTTTGATTAACTTCTCTAAAAAACTCACTTAAATACCATGCTCTTCCTGAGGCAGGTGAAGGGTTTGGTATGAAACAAATAGATGATAGAAACATTTTAAGAGATGAGAGGGAGTTTGAAGAAGAGAAAAAAGTGAATAAAATTAGAATAATTTTCTTCCTGATTCATAGACCTTATGTTAAAAGTGGGACCTTATGTTAAAAGTGTGTCATAGGGTGTGCTTGGAGTAAAAGTAGTCTTTGGATGCCGGAAGAAGAGCTTATACTTAATTCTGTAAGCATTGTGACCCATTAACAGTTTTGTTTTTTCTCAGAAATTAAAAACTCTTTTAATGGAAAAAGATAACATTTGCAAAGTCAGCAATAGTGATAACAAACAATACTTTAACACAATATTGTAAATCAACCATACTTCACTTAAAAAAATTATTCTTGGGAACTGATGTAGTGTTTCTACGGGCCAGGCAGTGTTTTAAGTTACAGCAATTCATTTAATCCTCACAACAACCCTAAGAAGTAGTATTGCTGTCATCCCATTTTACAGATCAGGAAACTTCAGATGGAGAAATTAAACCATCTGTCCAAGGTCACTCAATGAGCAAGAGGTAGAACCAGGAGCTGGACTCATCCAGCTCCACAGCCCATTTTCTTAACTCTTCAACTGAACTGTACTGGTTTTCTGGAGTCTGCTGCTTCTCCTAGACAACTGATAGGAACTCTTTGCCCCCAGGAAAGGCTGAAATCATAGGAAGTCAGGAAATCCAAAGCAATACCGTTAATAGTTTTGAGGCATAACAGGAACTGGGTCACTGCTAGGTTTGTAAGTGTAATTCAAGGATCCCTTTGAAATTTTGGCATTAGTACCAAATGCTTCTTTTATTTCACACCCATCTACTCAGCCAGTGGGGCACTGATTAGATAACACTGCAAGTTATCTTCTCCAAAGTATGAACATGGAAGATGGTATGTAAAGCATTTTATCCTTAGTTCTTTTAGTTACTTACTATTTCTTAACTCTAATGAGAACTGTGCAAGAAGAAAAAAGACTTAACTTGCAAGATAGAGGATTATAGGAAAGTCGAGACTTTCATAATAAATTGTGGCTGGAATTAGTCAATCCTGATATTTTTTTTTTTAAGATTTGTTATTTATTTATTTATTTATTTATGTTTGGCTGCATCGGGTCTTAGTTACGGCATGCAGGATCTTTCGTTGTGGCTTGCGGGCTTCTCTCTAGTTGCATTGTGCGGGTTTTCTTTTCTCTAGTTGTGGTGCACAGGCTCCAGGGTGCTTCGGTTCTGTAGTTTGTGGCATGCAGGCTCTCTAGTGAGAGACGCAAGCTCAGTAGCTGTGGCGCACGGGCTTAGTTGCCCCGCGGCACGTGGGATCTTAGTTCCCTAACCAGGGATCGAACCCACGTCCCCTGCATTGGAAGACAGATTCTTTACCACGGAACAACCAGGAAAGTCCCAATCCCAGTATCTTTAAAAATAAAAATATTTCTTAGCTACTTTTTAGGTAATTTAAGAATATCCTAGAGAAAGGAGCATAATGATAATGAAAATAATATCTTCTTGCTGTTTCTCTTTTCCCTTACTCTTTTTCCACAGAATGGTTCAGCTGTTGCAATAAGACCCCAGTTTCTTTTTTTTTTTAATTTTTATTTATTTATTTATTTTGGCTGCATTGGGTCTTCATTGCTGCCCACGGGCTTTCTCTAGGTGCGGTGAGTGGAGGCTACTCTTCGTAGTGGTGTGCGGGCTTCTCATTGCGGTGGCTTCTCTTGTTGCGGAGCACCGGCTCTAGGCGCGAGGTCTTCAGTAGTTGTGGCACACGGCTCAGTAGTTGTGGCTCATGGGCTCTAGAGTACAGACTCGGTAGTTGTGGCACACAGGCCTAGTTGCTCCGCGGCATGTGGG